ATATATATTATTATATATATAGCCTTGAACTCAATAATCCTCTTCCCTCAGCCTTCTCTGGGAATACAGGTGTGCACCACCATACTCAACTTGTAAAATTACATTTTTAATTATAAAAGCAGTATTCATGAAAAGTTTAGGGCCAGCCAAATACTTCAGTGGATTAAAGTGCCTGCAAGCAGGATTTAATCCCTGGGCCTGCTGTGCTGGTCCCACCCCTGGGTCACACTGAGATGGCAACTGAGACTGGGCATGGTGGCACATGCCTGTAATCCCAGCTCTTAGGAGGCTAACAGGTGGATCACTACAAGTCCAATCTAGTAGTGAGACCCTGAACACCCTGTAGACCCATCCCTAAAAATAAAAAAAAAAAAAAAAAAAAAAGTTTGAAAATTAGAGGAAAAATCACAATAAATCACAATTTAGCCCCTAGTTTTTATATGTACACAATTATTGTTTAACTCTTGTCAAGTAGTATACAATATATTTGTTCTTTTCTTGCACATTCTTGCAAAAATATGAAGAATGTGTTTATTCACCTGCGTTTTCTTGAACACTGAGATTTTAAAATTTAATATATAAGCCAATTCAAATTTCTAGGAAAAAATTTTATGGTGTCCCCTGGAGCTTGAACAGCTGCATGCAGGTATCAAAGACAACGGCCGAGAATAAATTAAGAGGGCAGAAGTCCAAGAATGTATTTCACATAGCCAGCCAAAAAAACTTTAAGTCCAAAAACAAAGCAAAACCAGTTACCATTAATGCTAAGATAAACATTGTGAATGATGAAAAAGTATGCAGAATAATGCTTTTGTTATTATGCTTTTGTTAACATTCAGAAGGAACCTGCACACTTAGCAAAAAGGCTGACTCTTGAACCTCTGCAGAAAGAACTGAATAATCAGCCACATCATGAAAATGAACCAGTTAATGTTGATGAAGCTACAAGTTTAATGGTTCAATTGTAATATGATGGAGACATATCAAATTCAAAAAAACTCAATAAAGTAAGTATTTTATAAAAAAAAAAGATGTTGGTTGCTAAAGATAGATTCAAGTTCATTATATAAGGTCTAGTAATTGATAATGATAATTGATAACTGAAAATACAGAAGACAGTCATGAACTTACTGATGAGATGTTTTCCATTTCCATGTGTTTGGCCAAAGGCATTCGTAGAAACTGGCCTTTGATGAGGAAATCAAATTCCACATATTTATGGAACTCTAAAGAAAGCAGCAAAATATTATCACTTAACAGTGTGAAATGTTATTGGCACAGACACAGAAGAACTCTTGAAATTAACAGGTACCTTTTATTCCACTGTGGCCTGAGTTTCTCCAGAATTTTTCTTGGCTTATCAGACAAATGTGTTGCAGTTTACTTTTTTTTTTAGAACAGAAATGTGGGGGCTGGTGAGATGGCTCAGTGGTCTAAAGCACCTACTTAGAACAAGCTTGGCAAAGCACAGGGACCATGGTTCGATCCCCCAGCACCACATGCCAGCCAGCCCCGCCCCCTGGTGGGCTGAGCTGGCCACACACACATGCACACACACACACGCACACACAAATAAAAATAAAAAAAAAAAAAAAGAACAGAAATGTGTTGTTCTGTTAATATAAATTTGTTGTTGTTAATGTAACTTTTTTTCTTTTTGGTGCTAGAGATTGAACACAAGGCCCTGTGTTTCTCAAGCACACGCTGTAACACTGAGGTACATCATTGGCTTTATTTTGATTGTTTTTTGAAATAGGGTCTCATCATGTAGCCGAGCCTGTAGCACAATCTTCCTGACTCAAACTTCAAGCAATGAGATTACAGGTGTGTGCTACCATGTGTGGCTATTATAATTTTTTTTTAAATTTTATCCCATGCAAAGTTCCAAACATACGAAACTAGAAATAACAATGAATCACCATCGCCCACATTGACATTAACCAACTCATGATCACTCAATATTCTTTCCTTCCCTCTGATAGTTAATTCTATAACAAACTTCAAGAATTGCATCATTTCTTGGTGGCTTACTATATGTCTCTAAAATTTAAAGACGTAAAAAATTAGTCACCATGTTAGAAAATTTTAAAAATTATTCTAATATCAGATACCAAATTTGATTTGTTTTAGAGTTTTATTATTATTTATATTACTTTTTAAAAAAATGTATTTGGTATAGTGTCTCAATATGCAGCTTGGACTCATAGTGATCCTCCTGTTTTCAGCCTCCCAAGCGCTAAGATTACAGGCACATGCCATCATGCCCAGTTTCAATTGCCTTCTCAAGACACCTCAGGTGGCTAGGGCCAACACGACATGCCAGGCTCAAACCTGGGTCCCTGCGCCTTCCTAAGTAGGTGCTTTAGTCTGCTGAGCTATCTGGCCAGCCCAAAAGTCCACACATTGTTTTTGATTGGTTTTTTTTTTTTTAATCATTAACAGTTTGCATTCCTTTTTGTCCTTGCCATGTATTCTTGAAGAAAGTGGGTCATGTTTCTATATTGGCTTGGATAGTCACATATTCAAGCTGTTGTTTTTTGGCGAGAGGAGTACAGGAACTACATGCATAGCCTTTGTACTGAGCTACACTCCTAGCTTTTATTTATTTTTCATACAAAATCTCATTAAGTCACTAAACTGTCCAGGATGGGCTTGCAATCTTCCTGCCTCAGCCTTTTATAGGCATATGCCATCACACCCAAGTTCCACAGTGTCTCTTTTTTCTTTGGTACTGGAAATTAAACTCATAACCTTGCACTTGCCAGGCAGTCAGTAGGCTGCTGAGCTATATCCCTGGCCCCCTGGTGTCTTAGAACGTATTCCTTATTATTTATATATCCTACAACTAGTCAGATTAATGCTACGATTTCAGATTTCATTATTTTTGGCAAGAAATTTCATAACCCAAAACAGGAAATATAGGGCTTCACTGTATTTCCTATATGTCAGGATGCATGTATCTAATTGTGTTTCTTTTTTAAAATATTAAGATCCATGCTTGTTGGCACTTGCCTATAATCCCAGCAATCTGGGAGGCTAAGGCAGGAGGACTACAAATTTGTGCCCAGCATGCACAACTTGCAACTTAGTATATGGACAAGTGATATCAGACTGATCCCATCTACCATGTTTCCTAAAAGGCATTAACCTATTTACTGATTGTTGCAACTACTGATCTAATCACTATTTATATTCACTGTTTGATAAGGAGTTGGCAAATGTTAATATGGTAGTCTAATTCTATTATTCTATGTTTATTACTTCTCTTAAAAGAATTCCAACAATTATTGGTTTGTTATTTTTTAAAAATACAAAGTCTGAATCAATTGCCATTTTTAACTCAAGAGTAAGGATTCAGTTCTTTAATTTATACAAAATGACAA